ACGATTTGCTCGGGGCCGAAGGCGACAACCGAGGTACTCTTCCCCGGCCCAAGCCTCTTCATCCTTCCAGAACCTTCTAGAACCTTCCACCCCTTATCCTTCCTCCGTACTGACCAGCCTCCTCCATCGGCCTCTGCCTCCTCGTCCCCGTCATGGCGGTACAACCATTTGCTCCCAACGCAGCACAAGGACCGAAGATCCCCGTGCTGCCCCTCCTCCCCATCCCTTCGACACGCGCGGTGCGACAAGTAGTCAGTCAGGTCATAAAAGCTGGCCTCGCATGGCATCTCTCCTTCCTGCCCGCCCTCCTTCTCTCCCCATATGCGCGCTTCCAGATGCCGCTTCAGCCAGAGCAGCTTGGGCACCTGGTTTTCCGGAGATATCTTCCCCCCTACGTGCCGCAAACGTTGGGCGATCACATTCTCTTCTTGATTGGTTCCATCGCCATCCATCTGCGCCCACGCATTTATCTCCGCTGCCTCCCTGCTCGCCCGATGATCAAGCCAAAGCACCACGTCCGGCACCTCCTTCCTTCCTTCTCTTCCTCCCAACTCCTCCTCTGCCGGCCCCTGGCCCATTTCCACCCATGTCCGGGCATTTTGGGGCGTGACATCGACCGGCTGATCCCCTTTCCCACGAACAACGAGGGAGCAGGTCGCATCGAAGGCCAAACCGACCACACGCTTCTGGACCTTGAACAATGCCTCTCTGGGCGCTTCTACCCCAGAACTTTTACCAGAGTACATTTTCACGACACTGTTCAGCGCTGTGTGTACTGCGCTGCAGACGGCACGCCAGATGTTTTCAGTGCTTTGCTGGAAAAGCTGAGGGTAGCCTACAGGTCGAAAGGTCTTGATCCGAGAAACTCCTGCTTGGCCCACTTGGCCACCGTAATCCGTAAAAAAAGCCGCCCTCGCTGAGCCCGTGCCCACGTCGATGCCAAGATACAGCGGCGGGTCGTCCCGAGGAGATACCATTTCACTCTCTGGTGTCGAAAAAATGTGTATATGTATATTGTCCGGTCAGGGGGAGGAGGTTATTTCAAAGTGTGACAGCACGACGACCCACCTCAGCACTGTGATAAGGCACGCCATCCTCTTCTATGCTAAATGCAATCGCTATTGCCATAAAGTAACACACAGAAAGGCCATGTGCTTGGAATTGTGTATAACGTTGCTCAGATAGCGGCGGTACTTGCTGTAGCTCGCTGCTTGTTAGTAAGTTGATCTCAGAGGGAAGCGAAGAAGGGTGAAGAGATGTGAGTACATACACACGCGTTCACAAAGGAAAAGGCCTTGGGCATCAGTAAAATATACAATGTCACATGATCAATGATTTCGTAGAGGTTGAGACGCGTGGCTTGATGGCTTGTGGTAGAAATTGGAATGCCGCGGGGCTTCTAGCATGCACATTACCGTCGTGATAGCAGTCATTCTCCGGCTCTAGGTGCAATGGTCACGCAACCTTTCTGAGTCGACATGCTTCTCAATTCCATCGCTTTGTATCCTGTAGCAGACGACCGTATCGTCCGGTCCTTATTCTGGGCATACTTGGTGCTTTTGCGCGTCGTTTATCATGCCGTTGCGGGTGACGGTGGCGTTGGGCAAAGGGAAACATGTCGACTTGGACCTTGCCAACAAAAATGCGACGCTTCAGGATTTGAAAGAAGCGTTTTCAAAGAAGGTGAGCCTATCAAGAGTATGGATTCTGCACGGGATGGCATTACAAGTAACGTGCCTTCGGTCTGACTTCCCCTTTCCCTTCCTTCCTCCCTTGCTCCCTCCTTCCCTCCCTCCCTTCCTCCCTCCTCACAGATCCGTCGCCTTTCTCCTCACCGGCAATCCTTCCGCATCCAAGTAGATTCCTCTTCTTCCTCCTCCACCACCATTAAGCTGTCACAGTCCTCAGAGCCGCTGGTGTCGTCCGGCTACAAGGAGGGCATGATTCTTCTGTTCAAAGACCTGGGACCTCAGGTGCTCCCTCCCTCCCTCCCTCCCTCCCTAATTCTCCTAATCTGTATTCCTCTGTGATCATCTT